AGCAGGGTCTGATTTGAGGTGGTTCAATACCATCACAAGGCGTGTTGACAGCGTCAGGGGACCTAATTCTCTCTGGCACATTGATGGACTACACTGCCTATCAGTTGGAGGTTTGTAATACATGGTGGTTTTGACAGGGCTTTAGACTTATAGTTGTGCAACAAACAATTCTGCAGCGACTAGGATCGCTCTGTTCTTAGCTGCTGTGCAAAGTTATGGATTGCCCTCTAGAGTGTGTTTAGACGAAGGGGATGAAAATTTAGAGGGAGGAAGAGCTATGCTATGGCACAGGGGATTTGATAGGGGAAGCAAAAAAGCTGGGTTGTCTGTACACAACCAGTAAATTGAGCGTCCCTGGAGAGGATCTTTATTGAAGGCGGTCAGTTCTACTACACTCTGTTCTACCAGATGGAAGAAAATGGCATCCTGGAATCGACCAGCATAATCGATCTGTTCTATTTCTTTCCAGAATTAACAACCAGTTAAACCTCCTAGTTGAGGCATGGAATAACCATGCTGTACGCACTACCAGTATGGGTGAACGCAGTGTTTTTACAAGATATATGTAATACTGGAAATACTAGCTGTCAGGGAAACATTTGATGATAACACCCAACCAGATGAACTATCTGATGAAGACCCAATAGGACTTACACTAAAATCACATTCTGTTTCTTAAAACTCCCCTTGAGGTATTGATATATCTCATAGGCGGGACGACCCACTCTTCCATTAGAAGCTGATGGCGTTGGCAAAGCCCTAATGGGAGTGCAGTGAGGTGCATGAAACTGCTCTTCATGCAAACATTTCCCATCTAAGTAGTAAATATCGCATTTGTCTCACCAGTGACTCTAGAGGCCGTATCCTCTCAGCGTTCGCCTTGGTACCTCTGTCCAGTGAGTCAACTGAAGGATTAGCCTGCGTAGCTTGGGAGTTTAGCAATTTTTAAGCAATTTGAGCGCGAGCGCACAAAGCGACAAAGCCGCGAAAACGAACAGGAACCCCCAGGCTCCTCGTGGCTATGCCGCATTTGGCGCTCGTTATCGCAGGTTCGCCGCTTTCTTAGCGCGTTCATATTGCCTAAAAACCGCCAAGCTACGCAGGCCACTAAACGATGTACAGATTAATCCACAGCAACTTCACGGCGATAAGCGTTAGGATAAAAACTTGAACAGTCATTCAAAACACGCATAACTGTTTCTAGAAGTTCATTCACTGGAGAGCTGCACAAACAAACATTAAATAGCAGATAGACCAAGACAAGGCATTTTACCACTGCCGCCATATTGACGATTCCTAGTTAGAGTAATTTTCATTGCTATCATACACGAACAACCATTCTCTTAAAAGGCACATTTCGTGCTGGCATATAAGACGTAATTTACGAGACCCGCATATACTAGCATTTTAGCACGCGTATATATGGGTCCTTGTAGGACGCGTATATTTGTGCATTTATTTCGCATATCCCCGCTCTTGAATTTACGCAAATATGTGGCCCTTTAAAATGCGTATATACGCGATCTTAATGGTCGTATATATGAGCTTAAGGGCCATACGAAACGTATGTAATCAAGTATACGCCGCAGAAAAACCCGCGTATACTTTGTCGTAATTTTGAAACGAATGGCCAACCACAGAGAGGGGCTGCGAACGACCTCGGACGTCTGAGAATCAGGCTACAGTTTTGCTAACAAGCTTACATGGTCATCGTTTGTGAATCAATTTACACATCAAGCTAGGCAAGAAAACAAACAAGCGACACAATACATAACTATGTTACATCATTGTTTACTTCATTCACAGTTGTACTCATCGTCTAAACATGAATAGCTCAAGTCTGAAGAAAACTAAATTTTGGTCGCTTGATCTGACCTGCTGGCGATCAACGAAACAACTACTGCGTTTACGATTCATAAAGCTCTTGTATACGAATTCTTAAAAAACAAAAGAAAAAAAAGACATTTCAGTTTGGTCTAAGGGCGACAACCGTCGTTTTGAAAATTTCTCATACTTTCAAATATTCTACACTTAGAGCGATATCTTTCTAATAAATGCAAATTTCATGGAGAAAGATGGCAAAGGTGGCGAGCTTAGTAACCAAGCATACAAGAAATGTTATACTTGCCGCCTAGCGCCGTGAATATAGCATCATATGCCGAGCTTTTCGACCAGTCAGAATGTCCAATTTTTCTCTTCACCTCTGGAAGTTATTATTAACACTTACATGCGCACAGCTTACTATAGCAGCTTGAGGTGTATGTATTGGTTAGTGGCAAGTCAGTATAGTAAACCAATAATAAAGGCTGAATTTTTATGACTTTTTTCAGTAATTTGATTTAGAGCAGGTCTGGCTCAGTTACCTTTTCAATACAAATTAATGCAATAATTCTACATTTGGTTCCAAATGCTAACTGTTGTCTGACAGACAGGATACGTTTTCGCTAAAATCAGGAGCCCCGGTTATGGCTCCTGATTTCGATGTTTATCTTCAAATTCACCTTCATGGAAGCGATATTCTTCGTCTTTTTGTCTGTCGATTCACTGAAATAAGTTTTGATTAGACTTCTATTGTCAACACAGACAATATGGAAACCTGTATGAAGCTCCCACTGTAGCATTATTAATTTTTCAGGTAGTTTCAAAGTAAATTAAAATCCCTCACAAATTGCAAGCAGACTTTAAGAGTGCCGCAGACATAAATTAGATAAAATAAAGTGTTTTTGTTTTCTCTTTGGCGGTAAGTTTCTGTTTTACTGGCACCTTTAATGACAAGCAATTCATACCAAGCCAAGTGAAATTGATTTAGTGATTAAGCCTGACACTTGGGAACTAAATAGAGAGATTTTGCGTGACTGCAGCCCTATCCGGAACATATAGTATACAGACAGACATGAGCTTTATTTGAGTGTCAATAAGGAAGTGTTCTTCATCATATGTCTGAACAGATGAATCCTGCGCGAATATTCACATCTCAGTTCCTCGGCCTTTGAGAAAGTTAGCTTTAATATACACTGTCATTAGGATTTTAACGCACATATTCACGCTGATATCTTTTGACTTCTCGAGAATTGCGAGCTTACTTCAAAAAAAAGAAAAAAAGAGCGTTTCTTCCCTTAATTTATTGTTACGTGTTAGCTAAGTATTCGCGGACATGTCGCTGAAACTTTGGTTTTCTCTGTGCATTCAATAGAGCATAACGTCTTCAAAATTCAGAGGTGGGAAAAATAATTAAAAATGAACGCCCAGTAAGCCCGGATCAATTGCTAGCTGTTTTGTTTTTGTTGCTTTTGTTGTTTTGTTTTTTTTTTACTTTTCTTGTGCGACCGAGACAGGTGCAAACAGTGTTCAGTAGGGAGGAAAACGTCACACGCTTGAGCCAACATTTAGGTTTAAGTTGTCAACCAGCTTTACAACCGACATATCGCTTTCCTTCCCGCTTCTTCCCGTTGCCATAAGGTGAGCATTACCAGTTTGTAAATGAGTTGTCTTCTGATATTATTATTCAGTGCGACGCTGATTGTGTATAAGGTAAATGAGAAAAGTTCAGAGATGGTTTCCATGCGCGGCTCAGCGACTCATCTCGTCGCTATGTACCATGCGAAATTTCTTCCATTTACCACGCTAAACGAGAAATGTTATGCCTGCGTTTGCAGCAATATTCGTAGGAAATCGATTGTGTTACGTTTGCTACCGGAGAACAGAGTTCGAAATGGTAATCCAAAAATTGGATGGAGGAAATTAAATTCGTATTGCAATGATGTGTTATCAAGTAGTTCATATATTTGCACGTTGTAGACAACCTAAAGAGCACCGAAAGGGATTTGAGAACAAAAAACCGTAAGAAAATAAAACGTTCACGATTCGACATTAAATGTTAGGAAACCTGGAACACGATTGTTGCCAAAGTTCACTTTTTAAGGTTTAATTTCTGAGAAGGATCGAAAAGGTTGTCTGGTGAGTATATAGTACTTTATCAGATTATTTTATTTCACAGGCAAACAAAAGGCGATCTTCGCAATTTACAAATCTTGTTTTATAGACTTGCTAGTCATTGAAGAAATTTATTTTACAAGGTACATGAAGTATTCGCTTTAATTTTTTTTTTTTTGTTTGATTACATTATAACATACACAGCACCTTCCAAATGGCTGCAAAAAGATCGTCTACAAAAACAAAGAACCGAATACAAGCTTCAAGAGAATGATTCTGTAAACGAATTAAGTCCGTGTGCGTTTCTATAGATGTACATTATCATTGTTATTTCTTTATTTTTTATTTTTCGAGCTAAAACACTCGTAGCGGAAGTAGGTGTAGGATGATAGTGCGGGTTTTCTGGGCGCTTTGACTTTTTTGTCATGAACGTCCATCAAGTTGTCGTGAAGATGACGTCAAAACAAGATCTGTTGACCTGATGGATCTACAAAGGATAAAGCAAGCAAGCAAAAAGTTGAAAAAAAGAACCGCGTTCTAGTGAACTGAGATTGTACAGACATCAGCAAATGCGAGATTTAAAAGGCTTAATCTGTTTCCGTTACATAAGATGTGCCATCGTCATTCATATGCAACTGCTTAAAAATTAATGAACGGGTAATTTACACCCCGATGATTGACCCATAGATACGCTGTTAAAAATAACTCAGTTCTACATCTATATTCATTCTCTTTATACAGAACAGCACGTCAACATGGCTTGCCATGGAAACGAACGATGCCTTAAAATGCAAACTTCGATCACACTGACCCTTGTTCTCCTGGAATGGATTTTTGCCACTGATGGGGAGTTTGGTGACGAAAATCAGAGAGAAGTGTTGTTTTACAGTATAAAATCAGCATCACTTATCGGCAAAGTCACAATGACCACACTGGTAAAAGATGAGCTGGAATGTGCGTTCATGTGCTTCCGGCATTATCCAAGCGACTGCCTTTCATTTAACTTCCGCAGAGAGTCCATCGGCGAAACGCACGTCTGCGAACTCAGCAATTCTGAAAGGGCTTTGGAGCCAGACAGAATGCAAAATGGGCCAGGATTTGATTATTTTGGCGTACAAACGGTGGTAAGGGAGTGTTTTCTCAAAGCATGACACAAGATTTAGATTAATTTAACACTTGCATCTCTTCTTCCAGTACCTATCTAGGTTTTACCCATGTCTGTCGTCTCCATGCCGTTATGGAGGAACCTGTTTGAATGGTCCAGAACTGGAAAGGTTCTGGTGTAACTGTTCCTTGGAGATAAGTGTACTGCCTTACATTGACAACAAGTGCAACGTCAGTAAGTAACCAAACATTCCAGTTTTGTTTTATCCTCAGTACCATCTACATATCAGAATCTAGTTCAGTGACTTCAATTATATTTAAATGATTCGAAGTCAAGATGTCTAATTTCAATGAAAAATGGCAATTATAAACTCCTGGAGGTAAGCCCTTGGCAATTGTTGTGGAGCTATACAACCCATAGCGAGTTTTAAGTGAGCGTACGACTGAAATGAGTCTTCTAAAAAAAAGCTTATTAGCACTATTTAACAAATAAAGAAGCCTCGACTGTGCTCTGTTCTGTTGTAAAGCACGCAGGAAGCGGTAGAGCACGAAAAACGTGTAGGGGAAAACACGAGACGAAGTCGAGTGTTTTTCCCCACTTCTTGAGTGCTCTACCGCTTCCCAAGTGCTTTACAACGGAACAGAGCACAGTCGAGGCTTCTTTATTTGTTTTATGATAAAGAATCCAATAATTTCGCCCACGCATTCGGCTGAATTTTCGAACCAAACTTTATTTTCCAAGTGGCGTCAGCCGTGCTCTGTTCTCTGATAAAGCACGCTAAAATAGGCCAACCACAATCCTTGTTAGAATTGTTCAAATAATTTGATTGGCTAACGAAGCGACAGCTGTCAATCACAAACTGGACTTCATCTAAGCTTTCCGGCAGTTTCGAGTAGTTTCGAGCGGCTTTCGAGAGAAGAACGATACCTTCAAAGTTCGCTTTTTAGTTAATTTTCAAATAAGAATCTAAGGGCAGGTAAAGGTTTGTCAGTTCAGAGGAATCCGGCCGTATTGTGGCTCATGAAAACGTGCACTTTTCCAATGGAGATTACGAAACCAGGAGCTCGAAGCTTGCGGATGAAAATGCGAAATGCTGAGTTGAATTTGAAAGAAGCTACAGTTATTTACGGCTTGCAGCCGCTTGCAGCAAGATCGCCCGAACTAGCGTGAAAGGTAGACAGACTAAGAGGAGAACACCAGAGCAAGCTTTGAGCTGACCACTCGTCGTTTCACTTTGCTGAGATGACCAGAGAGCAAGCGTTACTTCACTGCATGTAAGTGTTTTGAGCAATTGAGCATTTTTACANATTGCCTAAAAACCGCCAAGCTACGCAGGCCACTAAACGATGTACAGATTAATCCACAGCAACTTCACGGCGATAAGCGTTAGGATAAAAACTTGAACAGTCATTCAAAACACGCATAACTGTTTCTAGAAGTTCATTCACTGGAGAGCTGCACAAACAAACATTAAATAGCAGATAGACCAAGACAAGGCATTTTACCACTGCCGCCATATTGACGATTCCTAGTTAGAGTAATTTTCATTGCTATCATACACGAACAACCATTCTCTTAAAAGGCACATTTCGTGCTGGCATATAAGACGTAATTTACGAGACCCGCATATACTAGCATTTTAGCACGCGTATATATGGGTCCTTGTAGGACGCGTATATTTGTGCATTTATTTCGCATATCCCCGCTCTTGAATTTACGCAAATATGTGGCCCTTTAAAATGCGTATATACGCGATCTTAATGGTCGTATATATGAGCTTAAGGGCCATACGAAACGTATGTAATCAAGTATACGCCGCAGAAAAACCCGCGTATACTTTGTCGTAATTTTGAAACGAATGGCCAACCACAGAGAGGGGCTGCGAACGACCTCGGACGTCTGAGAATCAGGCTACAGTTTTGCTAACAAGCTTACATGGTCATCGTTTGTGAATCAATTTACACATCAAGCTAGGCAAGAAAACAAACAAGCGACACAATACATAACTATGTTACATCATTGTTTACTTCATTCACAGTTGTACTCATCGTCTAAACATGAATAGCTCAAGTCTGAAGAAAACTAAATTTTGGTCGCTTGATCTGACCTGCTGGCGATCAACGAAACAACTACTGCGTTTACGATTCATAAAGCTCTTGTATACGAATTCTTAAAAAACAAAAGAAAAAAAAAGACATTTCAGTTTGGTCTAAGGGCGACAACCGTCGTTTTGAAAATTTCTCATACTTTCAAATATTCTACACTTAGAGCGATATCTTTCTAATAAATGCAAATTTCATGGAGAAAGATGGCAAAGGTGGCGAGCTTAGTAACCAAGCATACAAGAAATGTTATACTTGCCGCCTAGCGCCGTGAATATAGCATCATATGCCGAGCTTTTCGACCAGTCAGAATGTCCAATTTTTCTCTTCACCTCTGGAAGTTATTATTAACACTTACATGCGCACAGCTTACTATAGCAGCTTGAGGTGTATGTATTGGTTAGTGGCAAGTCAGTATAGTAAACCAATAATAAAGGCTGAATTTTTATGACTTTTTTCAGTAATTTGATTTAGAGCAGGTCTGGCTCAGTTACCTTTTCAATACAAATTAATGCAATAATTCTACATTTGGTTCCAAATGCTAACTGTTGTCTGACAGACAGGATACGTTTTCGCTAAAATCAGGAGCCCCGGTTATGGCTCCTGATTTCGATGTTTATCTTCAAATTCACCTTCATGGAAGCGATATTCTTCGTCTTTTTGTCTGTCGATTCACTGAAATAAGTTTTGATTAGACTTCTATTGTCAACACAGACAATATGGAAACCTGTATGAAGCTCCCACTGTAGCATTATTAATTTTTCAGGTAGTTTCAAAGTAAATTAAAATCCCTCACAAATTGCAAGCAGACTTTAAGAGTGCCGCAGACATAAATTAGATAAAATAAAGTGTTTTTGTTTTCTCTTTGGCGGTAAGTTTCTGTTTTACTGGCACCTTTAATGACAAGCAATTCATACCAAGCCAAGTGAAATTGATTTAGTGATTAAGCCTGACACTTGGGAACTAAATAGAGAGATTTTGCGTGACTGCAGCCCTATCCGGAACATATAGTATACAGACAGACATGAGCTTTATTTGAGTGTCAATAAGGAAGTGTTCTTCATCATATGTCTGAACAGATGAATCCTGCGCGAATATTCACATCTCAGTTCCTCGGCCTTTGAGAAAGTTAGCTTTAATATACACTGTCATTAGGATTTTAACGCACATATTCACGCTGATATCTTTTGACTTCTCGAGAATTGCGAGCTTACTTCAAAAAAAAGAAAAAAAGAGCGTTTCTTCCCTTAATTTATTGTTACGTGTTAGCTAAGTATTCGCGGACATGTCGCTGAAACTTTGGTTTTCTCTGTGCATTCAATAGAGCATAACGTCTTCAAAATTCAGAGGTGGGAAAAATAATTAAAAATGAACGCCCAGTAAGCCCGGATCAATTGCTAGCTGTTTTGTTTTTGTTGCTTTTGTTGTTTTGTTTTTTTTTTACTTTTCTTGTGCGACCGAGACAGGTGCAAACAGTGTTCAGTAGGGAGGAAAACGTCACACGCTTGAGCCAACATTTAGGTTTAAGTTGTCAACCAGCTTTACAACCGACATATCGCTTTCCTTCCCGCTTCTTCCCGTTGCCATAAGGTGAGCATTACCAGTTTGTAAATGAGTTGTCTTCTGATATTATTATTCAGTGCGACGCTGATTGTGTATAAGGTAAATGAGAAAAGTTCAGAGATGGTTTCCATGCGCGGCTCAGCGACTCATCTCGTCGCTATGTACCATGCGAAATTTCTTCCATTTACCACGCTAAACGAGAAATGTTATGCCTGCGTTTGCAGCAATATTCGTAGGAAATCGATTGTGTTACGTTTGCTACCGGAGAACAGAGTTCGAAATGGTAATCCAAAAATTGGATGGAGGAAATTAAATTCGTATTGCAATGATGTGTTATCAAGTAGTTCATATATTTGCACGTTGTAGACAACCTAAAGAGCACCGAAAGGGATTTGAGAACAAAAAACCGTAAGAAAATAAAACGTTCACGATTCGACATTAAATGTTAGGAAACCTGGAACACGATTGTTGCCAAAGTTCACTTTTTAAGGTTTAATTTCTGAGAAGGATCGAAAAGGTTGTCTGGTGAGTATATAGTACTTTATCAGATTATTTTATTTCACAGGCAAACAAAAGGCGATCTTCGCAATTTACAAATCTTGTTTTATAGACTTGCTAGTCATTGAAGAAATTTATTTTACAAGGTACATGAAGTATTCGCTTTAATTTTTTTTTTTTTGTTTGATTACATTATAACATACACAGCACCTTCCAAATGGCTGCAAAAAGATCGTCTACAAAAACAAAGAACCGAATACAAGCTTCAAGAGAATGATTCTGTAAACGAATTAAGTCCGTGTGCGTTTCTATAGATGTACATTATCATTGTTATTTCTTTATTTTTTATTTTTCGAGCTAAAACACTCGTAGCGGAAGTAGGTGTAGGATGATAGTGCGGGTTTTCTGGGCGCTTTGACTTTTTTGTCATGAACGTCCATCAAGTTGTCGTGAAGATGACGTCAAAACAAGATCTGTTGACCTGATGGATCTACAAAGGATAAAGCAAGCAAGCAAAAAGTTGAAAAAAAGAACCGCGTTCTAGTGAACTGAGATTGTACAGACATCAGCAAATGCGAGATTTAAAAGGCTTAATCTGTTTCCGTTACATAAGATGTGCCATCGTCATTCATATGCAACTGCTTAAAAATTAATGAACGGGTAATTTACACCCCGATGATTGACCCATAGATACGCTGTTAAAAATAACTCAGTTCTACATCTATATTCATTCTCTTTATACAGAACAGCACGTCAACATGGCTTGCCATGGAAACGAACGATGCCTTAAAATGCAAACTTCGATCACACTGACCCTTGTTCTCCTGGAATGGATTTTTGCCACTGATGGGGAGTTTGGTGACGAAAATCAGAGAGAAGTGTTGTTTTACAGTATAAAATCAGCATCACTTATCGGCAAAGTCACAATGACCACACTGGTAAAAGATGAGCTGGAATGTGCGTTCATGTGCTTCCGGCATTATCCAAGCGACTGCCTTTCATTTAACTTCCGCAGAGAGTCCATCGGCGAAACGCACGTCTGCGAACTCAGCAATTCTGAAAGGGCTTTGGAGCCAGACAGAATGCAAAATGGGCCAGGATTTGATTATTTTGGCGTACAAACGGTGGTAAGGGAGTGTTTTCTCAAAGCATGACACAAGATTTAGATTAATTTAACACTTGCATCTCTTCTTCCAGTACCTATCTAGGTTTTACCCATGTCTGTCGTCTCCATGCCGTTATGGAGGAACCTGTTTGAATGGTCCAGAACTGGAAAGGTTCTGGTGTAACTGTTCCTTGGAGATAAGTGTACTGCCTTACATTGACAACAAGTGCAACGTCAGTAAGTAACCAAACATTCCAGTTTTGTTTTATCCTCAGTACCATCTACATATCAGAATCTAGTTCAGTGACTTCAATTATATTTAAATGATTCGAAGTCAAGATGTCTAATTTCAATGAAAAATGGCAATTATAAACTCCTGGAGGTAAGCCCTTGGCAATTGTTGTGGAGCTATACAACCCATAGCGAGTTTTAAGTGAGCGTACGACTGAAATGAGTCTTCTAAAAAAAAGCTTATTAGCACTATTTAACAAATAAAGAAGCCTCGACTGTGCTCTGTTCTGTTGTAAAGCACGCAGGAAGCGGTAGAGCACGAAAAACGTGTAGGGGAAAACACGAGACGAAGTCGAGTGTTTTTCCCCACTTCTTGAGTGCTCTACCGCTTCCCAAGTGCTTTACAACGGAACAGAGCACAGTCGAGGCTTCTTTATTTGTTTTATGATAAAGAATCCAATAATTTCGCCCACGCATTCGGCTGAATTTTCGAACCAAACTTTATTTTCCAAGTGGCGTCAGCCGTGCTCTGTTCTCTGATAAAGCACGCTAAAATAGGCCAACCACAATCCTTGTTAGAATTGTTCAAATAATTTGATTGGCTAACGAAGCGACAGCTGTCAATCACAAACTGGACTTCATCTAAGCTTTCCGGCAGTTTCGAGTAGTTTCGAGCGGCTTTCGAGAGAAGAACGATACCTTCAAAGTTCGCTTTTTAGTTAATTTTCAAATAAGAATCTAAGGGCAGGTAAAGGTTTGTCAGTTCAGAGGAATCCGGCCGTATTGTGGCTCATGAAAACGTGCACTTTTCCAATGGAGATTACGAAACCAGGAGCTCGAAGCTTGCGGATGAAAATGCGAAATGCTGAGTTGAATTTGAAAGAAGCTACAGTTATTTACGGCTTGCAGCCGCTTGCAGCAAGATCGCCCGAACTAGCGTGAAAGGTAGACAGACTAAGAGGAGAACACCAGAGCAAGCTTTGAGCTGACCACTCGTCGTTTCACTTTGCTGAGATGACCAGAGAGCAAGCGTTACTTCACTGCATGTAAGTGTTTTGAGCAATTGAGCATTTTTACAAAAATAAAGCTTCTCATCTAAACAGAGACAGCTCAGTTGTTGTGTTCTGTCGTTGTTTTACTTTTTAAGTATAATCCGCCTTCGTAACAAATATAATGTCTTTTATCGAAGCACTGGTTAGGTTGACAATTTGTTTATTTTGCTACGTGTTTTGTCGGCGGGAATCTAGCAAATCTTGTCATTTTAGTACAGTGTTCACACCACTGTTGCTAACAATGGTCTCCGTGAGCCACATTTGCTGTAGACATAGAGTTCGTTTCCATTGCGTTTGTCTGAATCACAGGGGATGTTTATTTTGGGTAAAATTTGTCAAAATTCCGATGCAAACATTTGAAAGCCAGCTTACTGTCATCAACCCGTGCTCAACCCGTGCTCTGTTCTCTGATAAAGCATGCTGTTTCAGCCAATCAGAGCGCGCGTTATATGGAAACTTTATTGTAAATATAAATGAGGAGACAAGAAATAACTCAAGGCCTCCTATATTTTATCAGAGCAACTATGATCAAACGTTCAAAATCCACACTAATTGCAGACTTTTAATTTGCTCTTCTTATTTGAAATATTATGTTCTGTGAAAACGTCAGCAGGTCTATCATTTCGAATCATCAGAAAAAAAAAACAACAACAACAACAACAACAACAAAAAACAGTGAACGGAGAAATGCTTATCTCTTCTACAAGGTCCAAGCATTTCAACTAGTTTATACTGAGTTCCTTATAACTCTCTAAGAGGAAGTTTTTTTAAAACATATGATTATCTATCGACTCTCTACAATTCTACAAGCAATTCGGTCGTGTAATTATTATCGATCGATCGATATCAATCAATCAATCAATCAATTAATCAGTCCTTCAGTCAGTCAATTAGTTATTCAGTCATTCATTCATTCATTCAATCATTCAGTCATTCAGCCATTCGGCCATTCGGCCGTTCGGCCGTTCGGCCATTCGGCCATTCGGCCATTCGGTCATTGGGTCATTGGGTCATTGGGTCATTGGGTCATTGGGTCATTGGGTCATTGGGTCATTGGGTCACTGGGTCATTCGGTCATTCGGTCATTCGGTCATTCGGTCATTCGGTCATTCGGTCATTCGGTCATTCGGTCATTCGGTCATTCGGTCACTCGGTCATTCGGTCAGTCAGTAGGTCAGTCAGTCAGGCAATCAGTAGGTCAGCCCATCCATCAATCCATCCATCAATCAATCCATCCATCCATCAATCAATCAATCAATCAATCAATCAGTTAATATTTTGACCAGCTTGATTCGAAGAAAGTGATTCAGCCCTAATGACAGTAACTTGTGAATGCTTGTCTTTTATTTCTTTTACACGAGACTATTTTATTTCAGATAAAACCTTAATCATTGAAGGCTCTCCAGTCGGACGCGTTTTCTACGCAGCCGTGGATAAGGCGAAAATGAACTATTATGAAGCCGAACGACTTTGCGAAATGCTTGGAGCTATTTTGGCATCACTCGATCAATTAACTGCGGCTCATAAGGCTGGACTAAACCAGTGCAAGTAAGTCTCTTCTTTAAATACAAAATAATATAACTAATTAGACGAGATTGAGCAAAACATCGTGATTTGTCAGTAACAAATAATTGATCCGCGAGACACTGACAAATCACGATATTGGGCAATAGTTTGTTTTCATATTTAAATCACTCTCTGACACTGCTCATGGAAGCGATTTGCCATTTTTCACCCGAGATCTAGAGCTACCTGGTTGCCGATTGCCCATGAGCAGAATATTATTTACATTTAGCCGGTATTACGCATGTGCAGACCATTATTTGTAGGAAGTTATTTGCAAGTCAAGTGGTGGGCTTTCTGCCAATGAAAAGAAAGAAAAATTGCATGGAATGATAATAAAATAATTTTCCATTTTAGTCCATACATCACATATTTTCCTGGTTTTTGAGATGCCGGAAATGTAATAGCTGTGACAAATACACCTTTTTAAAAATACGTTATTTCCCCGGAAACCGTACTCAGACATTTTGTTTTTATCTTTTCCCTCCCAATTAATTCCCTATTACTTTTATAATTTACGGGGATAATTTTAGGTTTAATTTACCCAGGAGATTGAGGAGGTACACGCCAACAAGGTACAAGTGGACTGGCTTCGTTCCCTCTTCAAAAATGATCTTCCCATTGCTAGGAGCGGTAGCACCAAATATAATGTCATTGTCAGTCAGTCGACCGGTATTAAACTGATTATCGTTCTCCTATCTATATTTCAGTTATGGCTGGCTGATAGATGCTACTGCTCGTTATCCAATGCAAACAGTCAAGCCAAACTGTGGAAACAGAACCGGAGTCATAGGAAATACAGCTAAACGTGATAAACATGATAAGCGATATAGCGCATACTGTTACAAACTTTAGAAGGTTAATCTGGTGAAGTCAATTCCAATGACGATAATAGCCGTAAAATGAAGACTGATATCACTTGAAGCAGGTCTTAAACAATCGACGCAAGTTTCTATTGTTTACATGAAGCACGTTATGTTTTTCAACAGAAACGAAGGGCACTCAAATATAGCTTGCTATCGCATGATAAACAAACAAGTAACTAAATACAGTCACTGTCAGTGAATGTAGTATTTTTAGACAGAAAAACAATAACTTAGCTGAAAAACGCTCACAAAACATTTTTTCTTCAAGAAAATCTACTTAACGACGTTGTACAAAGAGGAAGCATGAGCTTCGGGGAAAGAGTTTGTAATACTATTTATCGTATGACCAGTACGGCCCCGCGGGCAATTTCCTTGGAAAACCTTAAGAAAAAAGGTCCCGTATGAGG